GGCAGGTCCCGCACCACCTCATGCTCCACTGCACTGGGTAGGGTGTACGTGGCCTTGAGTGGTGAATAGCCCTCCCTGCCCTTCTGCCGAGACCTCTTGTGGCCGTAGGGCTGCGGTGGTGGCTGTGGGGGCTGCAGTGGGAGGTGGTGCCCATCCTGGGGGCCCTGAGGTGGTGCTGCCAGGTGGTAGCTGAAGGCCTTGCCAGGCCTGCTGCCTCCCAGCCCCACGGGCGGCTTCCCCATGCCCTTGGGAGACTTGAGGAACTGCTTCTCAGGCACTTTCAGCTGCGGCGGGGTGTCCAGGGCCCGGGCAGCAGACTCGGCGGGCTCGGCCAGCACCTGGGACCGGCGGTGGTGGCCCGTGTGCGTGTCTGACTCTTGCGAACGGGACCGGGTTTGGGGGTGCGAGCCCTTGCTGGGGTGCTCCTGCTTGGGCTGTGCCGCCAGGGACCCTGTGGACAGCAGAGACAGACGTGAGGCCGCGGGCGTCACTGTGCCAGGTCCAGGGCACACAACAAGGGCCCCCTCCCCCTCCACTCCTCGTAGGTCACTGACGCCCTCGGCACAGGGTCTGAGCTGGCTTCCCCTCTGCTGTATGAGCTTGTAAGCGGACCTAAGTGGAGGCTGGCCGCATGGCCGTGTCTGAGGCCAGAGACCCTTGGCCACCCGCCCCACTCCTCGGCTGCCCTGCCCGTGGTCTCCAACCTGTGAGCCAGCTCTGGGGACCCCAACTGCCACCTCTTAGTAAGGGGAGCACCACCTTCAGTGATGGTCACCGTCTTGCCATCCCCCTCACAGGGAGGGCACGCTGAGGTCAGGGCATCAAGAACCTCGGCAACCCCCCACCCCCAGGGCCCCACTGTGGTCCCCACAAATGGAGCTTCCGTGAAGGTCCCCCCTGGAATGCACTTGGCCTAAACCTTATAACACACCAAGAAGCTGACTTACCCTAAGCCCCTAACCTAGTCTCTAAGCTAACCTTCACCTGCACACTCCTTAGAAAAGAGACTTCTGGATCGACTGGGGCAGCTGCTTTTACAAAGCTCAGTTCATGCCTTTTGGGGCACAGTTGACTGCCTGGCGATGTCCCTGCTGCAGGGCACTGGGGCTGCAGACACCGCCCTGGTGCCCTGATCTGGGCCAGATCTGCCGGGGATGGGGGTGAGGACACAGCCTGGTGCCCTGATCTGGGCCAGGTCTGCCGGGGACGGGGGTGAGGACACAGCCTGGTGCCCTGATCTGGGCCTGGTCTGCAGGGAACAGGGGTGTGGACACAGCCTGGTGCCCTGATGTGGGCCTGGTCTGCAGGGGACAAGGGTGTGGACACAGCCTGGTGCCCTGATCTGGGCCTGGTCTGCAGGGGACAAGGGTGTGGACACAGCCTGGTGCCCTGATCTGGGCCTGGTCTGCAGGGGACAAGGGTGTGGACAGAGCCTGGTGCCCTGATCTGGGCCTGGTCTGTGGGGTGTGGGGTGAGGACACATCCTGGTGCCCTGATCTGGGCCTGGTCTGCAGGGGACAAGGGTGTGGACACAGCCTGGTGCCCTGATCTGGGCCTGGTCTGTGGGGTGTGGGGTGAGGACACATCCTGGTGCCCTGATCTGGGCCTGCTCTGTGGGGTGGGTTGGTGCAGACACGGCCCCTCGTCTGCAGGGCTGCCCACAGTTTTGCTACAAGTGCCCTTTA